GCTGGGAAACTGTGCTTAGTGGACTGCCTCAGGGTAGAACTTCGGGGTCAGTGTTATTTCGCTTGTTTGTAAATGATCTTCCTTATCGTTTGTCATCAATCGTCTTGCTATATGCTGATGATGTCGAAATATGGAGAGTAATAAGAAGTAAAGGTGATAGCTTCAAAATAACCTGGAGGAATTTCTTGAATGGTCTCAAACTTGGAAGTTGCCGACCAATACTTCCAAATGTATTGTTATGCATATCGGTCATCGAGATACAGATACACACACGATGAATAACACTGAGCTACCTGTTGTCCAGACACTCAATGAGATAGGAGTCATCGTTAGCCAAGGCTTGAAAACTACTACACGCTGCTGTGCAATATCCGCCAAAGTTTTTAGAACCTCATTGTCAATAGGTAGGGCCTTTATTCAAGTCGATGCTAAAACTTTTTTGACTCTTTATATAGTGTTCATGCGTCCTAAACTCGAGTACTGGATACGAGCGGCTAGCCTCTGCTCAAGACAGTGAGCTTTTGGAAAAGGTTCAGAGAACAGCAACTAAACTGATTGCAGGAATAGCGAAGCTCCTGTATGATCCTCGACTGGCTAAACTAAACCTATTCCAGTTGTCATATCGAAGAACCAGAGGAAAATTGACAACAGTTTCTAAATTGTTTGGTGATAAATTTGCATCTGACATGTCCACATATTTCTTGTCTTTCACAAGCGTAGAACAAATTACCTGTCAGCTGACTGGACTTTCCCATCGAATCATTAACTAGTGGAATCAATTGACTCGACACGTGATTGGAGCTCAATCTGTCAACTATCTCAGAAGAAACTTTGGTCAAATGAGAGAACACCTTTGACATGACTAATACAAGCCACCTAGCCTCTTGTCCTTACCAAACTCAAACTGACTCTGATATTCTTATGGACTCAGGAGAGTATCTAACAATAATTTGCTGATATTCTTCCTTTAATCGTTTAACGTACCTTGTTTTCTACCTTAAAGGACCGTTTGTTCACTTTTTGATACGAGGGCCCGTTGAGTGAAAGCTTCTATTCAGTCTAAAACCCATTTAATCATTTCAGTTTGCGCGTCAGTCAAAAATAACGCAACAAATAGGCGTGTTTTGCTATTTTATGATGTGCTTGGTAATGCATGTGATTCGAGCATATGTTTTTGCTTGATCCAACGTTTTATACTTAGCATTATGTCAAAAAACCTGCTCAATGTGTTAGTATTATTGTTAAGTTGACTCCAGATACAGATTTGTACAATGCGGACTCAAAGCGGGACTGTTATATCTTCAATATTATGCTTTTAAGTTCGCTTAATATTTATCTGAATAAGTAGAATAAAGGACCGAAATCAATTCTCACAATAATAGGTTTCAAGAATTGATGAGTCGATGCGATAATTTGTGTCTAACCTGTTTGTCCTTAAGAACAAAAAGCCATCGGTCTAAAATTCCCTTTCTAGTAGGCTTCTGCTAATGTGCAGTCTTTTGAGTGGGTAACTGAAAAGTACAGACCTCACTTCATGTGTGCAATCACAAGATTCGATTACTCGTGAAAACTTGTATACCATGAGTTCATTTTTGGCATTTGAACTCATCGGATATTTCATCATAATGTCCTGATCTGGTAGGGAAAAATGAAATTAAATATTAAGTCCAGAATCATTTCTTGATATTATGTACATTGAAATCAGATTATCTCCTAATGTGCAGTAGAACAGAGTAAAATGATGTAACTTCTCAAGGTGCCTTGTTTAGAATAAACCTTGGAATTGTTAAGTATCACTAGTATCTATCATCTGTACTTTATTCGAGCTATCCGAGTCACCTGTAAACCGTGCTTACAGTGCGAACTCAGTTTTCAAGTTTGAGTCTCAAAGGTTGTGTTTACTGTAGTAAACATAATTGCATTCAACTTAAAGCCATACAGCGTTAAACTTAGCTGCAACTGTATGTCGATGGTCAGGTCTATGGGATTTTCATTATGCTGGACAAGAGCCTATGAGTTTGGATTCCAACGGTACGTGACCGAGCGTATTCACTGATGATTCTGCCTCTAAGTTAAACCAGTCGTCCGCCCTAGGACACCTCCACTTGTTTAACCAGGATTGTAGTTTGTTAAGGAGCAGATGATTCCACTTACATTACGAGCTTCAATATGCTGCAGCTGGTTCCATGTCTTGTCCCATACATTTCAGCCCACGGCATACCAATTCACATGTTTCTGAGTTGTTACCACTGTTTCTACAGCTTGTACGTTTAAAATCTTCAGGTGCAGGGTGGCGCTACCTTCTTCACGGTCTGGTGTGTCCTACAAAATAGAAAAACAAACCCCTTAAATTTCGTTATCATTTATTTCTGATGCTGTCCACAATCCTGAAATTTCAATGGCCTGAGAGTTTTTTGTGACAATCACATTTTTTAGCTTTGGCAGAGTAAGATAAGTGGTATTGTAGTCGGTATTATAGACAATCAATTCTATTAGATACTTTGTCTATGCACAGTGGTCTTTCAGTATCCTGTTACTTACTCCTGTTCCTCCTTCATAAAGCAGCATAGGCCGACCACCAGCATTCTCCATCGAACTGTATCCCGGGAAATCATTTCCAGTTATTTTGGCTGCTATTCATTCTTTTGATGTCTGCGTCCAATTCCCAACGCAGTGTGTTCTTTGGTCTTCCTCTTCTCCGTTTCTCTTTTGGATTCCAGGTTAGCACTTGCCTCGTGATGCATTTTGGTTTCCGCAATGTATTTCCTATCCACTTCCAACGTCTTTTCCTAATTTCCTCTTAAAATGAAAACCAGTTTGTTCTCCCCCCACAATACGCTGTTGCGGATCTTATCCAGACAATTGCTTATAAATACTTGAATCTTCTTTATGGTGATTGTAGTAGTTCTCCAAGTTTGAACTGCTAACAATAGAACATTTTCGACGTTTGTATTGAAGGTTCTGATTCTGATGTTGGTTGAAAGTTGATTTGAGTTCCATATGCTTTTCAACCGTAGCAGCACTGCCCTTACTTTGCCAATGCTCGCGTTCACGTCTGCATCGGATCCTCGTTCATCAATGATGCTTCCAAGGTACGTGAAAGATTGCACATCTTCCAGAGCTTCTCCATCGAATGTGATTGAGTTGGTGTTCTCCATATTGTATTCCGGATGATGACGATTTCCTCAGGCACACCAGTGTCGAAGAAGGTTCCACAAAGTCCTCATATCAACTCTATCAAATGCTTTCTCATAGTGGAGGAGGTTAATGTATAGTGGTGAGTTTCGTTCAATTGATTGTCCAACGATGATCCATAGTGTCGCTATTTGGTCTGTGCACGACCTATCCTTACGGAATCCTGTCTTTTGTCTCGAAGCTGGACGTCTACTGAATCTTTCATCCGGTTCAGCAACACTGTTGAAAGCTTTTCCTGCTACAGATAGTAGTGTGATTCCTTTATATTTCTCACATTTACTCAGGTCTCCTTTCTTTGGTATCTTGATGAGGTATCCTTCTTCCAACTCTGTTGGCACTTGTTCCCTTCCACATATTCCTGAATAGATCGTAAAGCATCTGTACAGTTACTTCTGTGTCTGATTTCACTGTTTCAGCTGGTATATTGTCAGGTCCTGCGGTTTTCCCACTGTTGGTTTTTTCTAATGGTCATCCTGATTCCTTCGATCGTTGGTGAAGTGACATCTATAGGAAGGTCTGTAGGTGCTGCTTCAATGTCTGATGGTCTATTCAAGAGTTCCTCTAAGTGTTCTACCCATTTGTTACTTTGTTGGACCTCGATAATTGTTTTGCCTTGTTCTTGAACGGTCTCTCTGGTTTACCATATATCCCTGCTAGTTTCCTCGTTCTGTCATATAGCTGTTTCATATTTCCTTCTCTTGAAGCTTTTTCCACTGTCGTTGCTAGCTCTTCCATGTATTTCTGCTTGTCGGTTATGTTGCTCTTCTTCACGTGCTTGTTTACTGTGTATTCAGCTTGTGCTTTGACTTTCTCTGCTCTTGTTCGGCTGTTGTTAATTGCTGTCTTCTTGTTCTCCTTCCTTTCTTGGATATTGTCTATGGTTTCGGTAGAGATGTATTCCTCATGATGATGATTGTTGCGACCCAGCATCTCCTGACACTTTAAAGTTAGTTCTTTTTTGATCCCTTTCCAGTTGTCATCCATAGTAGTTTCTTCTTCTTTCAGTAGATCCTGTTGTTGAGAGTTATCTTGAATTCGTTAAGTTTGTCAGTATGTTGGAGGAAAACTGTATTGAACCTTTGTAATACTGATTCCCCAGTTGTCGATTGCTTGTTTAGCTTCATTTTCATCTTGGCCACAACCAGGTGGTGATCTGAAGCTGCCAGTTTCTCTCCTGGTTATCACGTCTTTCATTGACCTGAGTTTTTTAGTGATGCAAATATGATCGATGCTGTTAGAGTTGTGGAATTCCGAAATATAACCTATGAGGATGAAAATCAATGTAGATTTCAGAATTAACTACCTAGCATATGAGTAAACTCGGACTAAAGGTGATCAGATATGACCTTGATTTGTTAGGTTGAACTTCGCCATGTTGGGTTGTATTGGCTACCTAACTAAGGCCCGTAAGATTATTGTCGTCTATAATTAAAGACCTTAAAGTACATGGTTAGAAATCTACAGCAGTTTCACAGATGTATTCGTCCTCTATCTGCTCATAAGTTTCTCGTTTAAATAGTTTTCCCCCAGGTCTCTTTCTTCTGTTTAGATTTAGATATTCTACATTCTATCTTTTACTCAGTTGTTCTTCATCTTTTTATTTTACACTCTATTGATTAGAAGTGTATTTACAACTTTGATTGGTGGGAATTTATTCTGTGTTCTTTTTTTAACTATTGGTTAATTTGAAAATGCAGGATCTATTGACTAACTAGTGATCTTTTTTCAAATGAAATTTGCAGACGTTTCTTGCTTGAATTAATGATGAAGTATCCGTGAATTGTATGTGAACTTGACAAAGAAAAATGAGTAAAAATAAAGGTATTGTTTTGTAATTACAATGGATTGATTCATTTGTTCTTTCCAAATCTTTAAGTTCGCCGGCATTCTAGTCGTCGTAAAAAGTATAAAGAAGTAGTTCAATCACGTGTAAACAGTAAAACTCCTGTTCAATATACTCGTCGGTTAAAAACAAAAAAGCATAAAAAGTTAAAAAATATTGGAGCAAATAATTCAAATTTAGGTATGTTCTACTTTTCTCTTTGTATTTCATTGTAATCTTGCTATCTCTCTCTCTCTCTCTCTGTGTGTGATTTCTAATTGTCTATTAATTAGAACTATACAATCGTCCACCTAAAGTTAATGATGAAGATTATGTTCCAGCAAGTTTTAAACAAATGTTACTTATGAAAGAAGGTAAATGGAAAACTCTACTTGATCCAGGTATACAATATCTATTAATTTCGTATATAGTTTAATTCACTACAACATAGCTGTTGGTGATACTAAAGGTATGAAGAAAAAAGATGAACCAGTTCCTGTCTTGAAACAAGGTAAACATGAATCAGATGCTCATTATTTGGGACGACTTCATAAAGAAGTTGAAGATGAATTAAATAAGGTGGAATTCTCCAAGAAACAACGAGTAATATTAATATATTTCTTTGTTATATTTTAATAACATTAATTTTAGACTGAACTTATTCCTACTACAGAAGTGAAACAAAGTAAAAAGAAACGTAAAGCTATCAAGTAAACTTTAGCATTTATTTAACACTATTTTTATAAATTTTAAAGACGTTTAAATGATAAACGTAAAGAAAAACGTTTACGTTCTATTGAAAAACGTTTGACAGGGTTTGAACACTTACAAGGTTTGTATTCACTTATTTTTTATCAATAATCAATAATCAATAATCAATATGCAGATAAAGTGAAATTCAATGAAGTTGTTATGGCACCTCCATTAAAATTGACTAAACCTAAAATGGTATTTAAGAAGAAATTGGATCAAATACATAGTTTAGACAAGTTAGTTTAATAATTTTAATATTTTTGTTGCGTTGTGGATAACTAGATTCCTATTATTATAATGCTCGGATTTTACTTCGTCTAGTGTTATAACGGTTGGGTTTACACGTTTACACGTATTGGACGTTAATTTAACCTAGACGAATATCTACATTAGTTCCCCTCCTAGTGTCTATTGTACAGGACATCAACATAACTCAGATCAAGAACACGTGATTAGCCTGACCACAATGTAAATATATTTCCATACCAAAAAAACCCGACACAATCCAACAACAATCAATAATAAATGAGTCACTATAATAATAAGGATAAGGGAATATATAACTCATCTGGCACCTATCAGACTATCTACATGTCTGACTAAGCAGATAACCAATTATTATCGTTATCGCCCACACCTCACCTATGCTATTCATATCTGTTTTTAATATATTGCTTTCTTAGCGTGAAATAATATCTGTGCATGTGCTTTTCACAAATCAGCGAAATAAGACTGGTATGAATGTTAGTTAGTTTTTATCCTAGAGAATGTGAGAGATGGAAAAAAGAATAAGCTCTTACTGACTTCCACGAAGACTATTTGTTTTGATGTTTACATTCAACCAATCACTGGGTAGTAGCCAATGTTTCGGTCATGAAACCTTGCTGTTGTGAACTAAGGATGTCGGTGACTTTTAATTCTATCATCGTTAACTCAGAAAGATTTTTGACATCCGCTGTTACCACCATATGGTATGAAAGAAAGCTCGTTGTGGTATGAAAGAAAGTAGTCGTGGTATGAAAAAAAGCTGCAAAGGGCTAGCTTCTGTTGGTCCTTCACGACTCCCTGGTTGGGGTCCGAGAGACGGTGTAACGCAGTGGCTAGAGACGTTATCAGATATGGCTCAGAATAGAAGCCAGTGGCGATCGTGCTGTAACCTTTTACTTTCTTCATAAAAAGTGGTTGTATCTTCCTTAACTGAAAGATATCTTTCTGGTTGTACCATTCCGTTTCCCCAACCATTGTTCTCTCTCTCTCTCTCCCTTTTTTTTATAATTCCCCACGTTCATTATTTTTTTCTCTTTTCTCCTTCTCTTCAAATTATCATTGTTTTGTGTGGCGCATATATATTTGGTGCCCCCCTGTATCAATATTTATGTGTTCAAATAAATAAATAAATAAATAAACCATATTAGTAATATTGAAGTTCGCAACTTGCATTAGGTTGGAACGGGCATATGCAGACACTGGGAGCGATCTAGTGTAGATAATCGTTAGACGTTACAACATCAGACGAAGTAATACCGAGCATTATAACAATCGACGACGGAACGTTATAACAGTTTGTCAAGAAGAAACTGTCGTCAAATCCTGAAAATCCAAAGCACTTACAGAACTATTGTACAGATGATCAGTATGATGTGCTTTCTTATGACTACTTTTTGCCTTAACACGCATGACATTTTTATTGACCAACTACCACTCAGCGTCATGATTCTATACTCATTCTATCAGTTCTCATTCAAATATGCACATTCGAAATCGTGAAACTGCATACTAATCTATAAATGCGGATACAATATAACTCACTGCATAATGCAGTCAAATCAATCATACATTCAAATGACAGAAAACACTTTCATAATGTTTGCATTGATATTACAAATATCACAACTAATTAAAGTAAATCAGCATCAATGCAATAACTGAATACTCATCCTACGTAAATTTTCTGACATAATGTATATTGAATGCAAAACAAAAAGTGTGATCCAACATTATTCCGAAAACACAAAACAGCACCTAACCACAATACAAGAAATGTGGAGCGCTAGCAAATCACATAAAAACGCATTGAAAAATAACTAAATAGGCTATCATGAATTGTATCATTCGGAATGAGCTGAAAAAACCATTCTGCGACTGAACATCATACTCAGTGTTCAATGAGACACAGCAACAATCCAATAAACAAGAATTGGAGATTGAAGAAGGTCAAATCAATGGGCATCACTAGAGATGAAATCGAAATCACAAATAGGCCACAATATCATCATGAGATGATCGACTGTTCACTTGTGTGTGTGTGTGTGTTCACTCGTGTGCGTCAGTCGTTTCGCTAGTTCGTGTTAGTTGAACGTGAAGAATGAATTGTCGACGGAATTAACGCATCCACTCAATCACTGTCTAAATCATTCACGTGCTTAATTAGTCAGTTGATTTGCCGCATCCACACAAATGCATTGACTGTGTGTTCATCACTCACTCCGTCTGACTACACAAACCACCAACTGACTCGTACGACGACTCACCCTCTCATTCGCCTCCTTACACCATGGATTCGTTGACTGATTGACTGACTGACTGACTGATTGAATGATTGATTGATTGATTGAATGATTGATGGATTGATCGATCGATCGATCGATTGGTTACTCGGTTCGTCAGACGAGTACGTGAGTGAGAGTGCAGTGTGTTTGGATTATGGTGATTAACGATCACATGCATGGATTGTGTTGAGGGTGGTTGAGAAACGTTGTGAGAGATGGTTAGTATAAATACTGGTGGATGTGGTCGGTGTCTATGTGAGTCGATCCGAGTGTTTGACAGCAGTGAATTTGCAGTGACTCGAAGTGAGCAGTGATGCGACAGTGTGTGATCTTGTGTTTGTTCGCCCTTCTCAGCATCTACGGTGTTCACGGTGAGTGACGACAGAGAATGTGTTGAATGACTGGATTGATTAGAGCAATTGTGATTCGATCGATGTGTGTGTGCGTGTTTGTGTGTGTGTCTTGCTGTGGACAATTGTAGTGGTATTTGAAGTGGTGACGTAGTTGTTGAAGATCGAGTGTTATTGTTGAAAGAGTAGTAGTTGGTGCACTAATATGGGTGGTGTTGATGATGATGATGATGGTGATGATGGTTGTGGTGGTGGTGGTGTTGGTAGTGGGCGAAGCAGAGATTGTGGATTGATTGTTTGTGGTGTTAGTAGTGTGAATGTTTGTTGTGGGAGTGTCAGCATTGGTAATGATAGTAGTGGTTTTGTTTGAAGAATTTGTGATATAGTTGGTACAATCGACAGCGTTGGTTGATGATTCAGTTGTTGTGGTGACTGTGTTGGTGGTGGAAACGACGGTTGGATTGAGAGTAGAAATGGTGTAACTGGTAGTGTTTGCTGTGTGATTGATTGTTTGTAGTAGGCATAGAAGTTTGTGCGATAGCGTTTGTGATCGTGATTGTGATTGTGGTTGTGATTGAGACTGTGATAAATATTGTTGATTGAATAATACTAATAATGATAATTATAATAATGATAATATAGAAGTGTTTTTGTTGTTGTTTTTGTTGTTGTTTCCATGTTTCAGCGGAGATTTCAGCTGAGAACGGAATGTGTTTTCGAGTGGGAGAGTATTGTGATGGTGCCGGACATAGGAAGTGTTGTCCACCACACAACTGCAAGCTGATCAATCCACGAGAAGGAGTGTGTGTCAGAGGACGGTGTTTGCAGTCGAAAGAACAATGTGTAGAACATGAGGATTGCTGCAGTGGACGCTGTGTGCTTGGAAACTGTAGAGACATGTAACTAGATGTCTACCGTTACACCTCATGTCGAGTTTCTGCTTGACTAGACAGACGTCCAGTCAACTACCTAGCTAGTTAGCTAGCCAGCAATCTAGATAGCTATACAGTCCACTAACTACACAACCCGTTTCCCACCATGCTCTTCACACATAGACCTTCCAACCACTCACATGTTCAATCATAACTTCTCCAACTTCTCTAATAATAAATGTGCTTATTCAAAGCAAATCTCTGACTTCTCCTCAATTTCCAAACACTGGTCTGTTGTGTGTGTGTACACGTGAATGGAACACTGGCTGTTGATGCTCCAGTCGAAGTGAGTGGTGTTGAATCGATGTGCTGCTCATTTGAGTGAACGATGATTGACGATCAGTGTTAGTGTTTGTAGTAGAAGTGGTAGTGTTCATACTAGACGTGTACGAAGAGTTATTGTTGAGGGATGTGTGAAAGTGAACATTGGAATTAGTGTGACTGTTCGTGCTTGTTGAGGTTTGAGTAGTCTCAGTTGACATATGATTGGTGGTGTATTTGGTGTGGGCAGTGTATACATTCGCATGGATTTATTCCAGTAGTAGTGATGCAAGTATTAGCAACAGTGAATCAGGGAATGTCATCCTTCAACCAGTCATATCCCAACATGATGATTATAAATCGGGTTTAAATTACTTTCATGAAGGTTTTTCGTTTAGTTTTATTTTTCACATTTATCAATTTACCATAGTCAGGGTGAAATTAAATTTAATGCAGTGAGATATTCACTGTAAATATATGCCACATGTGAATGTACAACCTACAACATTGAATGTCACACTCATACACACGTTAGAACACCACGTGTTACGTAATGAGCGTACGCTGATAGAAAGCATGAGTGATTTATTGACGGATGATGCTTCAGTTTTAGGCTTAGTAGCCTTGCACTTACGTAATAGAAAGGAACAATGGACTTGAAGGGAGACATCTTCAAAACGAGCATACGCCACAACACCATATGCAGATTCTCAGGCATGGTTAAAGCAACGAATCAGAGTGGCCAGCGGTTTGCACGATTCTGGCACGAGACACCTGAGAAGTCACAGTTCACTTAGGCGCTTCATACCTCTGAGCCAACGGTCCCATCTCAGAAAGCACTCCACAGGAAGCTCTGCGTCCCATGCCAGATTTTGCCGACAAGTTTCTTGCAAATTGATTTAGCTGGTAAAACAACTGAAGCTGCAAACACAACGAGGTCAAATATAGAAGCTACATGCGACAAAATGGTTCCTTTTGTAGGAGTCGCATCGAATTCGCTCACCTTGAACATCTTATCCGTTCGAACATTCCACTCTGTTCTTAGAGTCCTTTCATTCCTTTCCATAGATAGACAAATGTCTACGTTCTTTTCTATGCGGTCTTACTCTGGAATGAACTTCATTAATTCAACATTGTTTCTGGCCCACTTGGTCAGATTAAAACCTTTTAGACGTAAAATCTCCTTCAACTGAGAATATACTAATTTAGCTTCTTCTGACGTATCAGCACTAGTTAATAGATTGTCAACGTAGAACTGTTCCTCCTCTGTCTGTATAATACATTCGGGAAACCTAGCATCGTTATCTAAGGAAGCGCAAGTTTTTACCGTTCCTTCTTCATTTTTTTGTACCAATACAGACACTATTGTCTCTGTACGCGCTTAACACTTTCCTCCGTACAGTGTTGAGTGTTAATGTGAGCATTACTATTACTATCTGTGCTCTTCACGCTTGCTGTGTAACAAGGTATGGTGTCTCTAGCCACATGCTTCGACGGCACATGATCTCGGTGCTCGACAGTTTCTTGCTATATGGTTCGTCTTCAGACAGACATCACACAACTGCTTCTTCAGTACAAATTCTATCCTCTCATTAATATCGTTATCTTTAAACCTTTCACATTGGTCTAATGAAGGAGGGTTTTTAGTACACAATAAACATGGCAAACCAAGAGTGCTTGGTCTTACATTTGGAGGGACATCAGACTCGCTCATGCTGGAGGACGACACTGTTGCCTTATACTCCGAATCAAGGTTTCCTTTAGTAACAACAACCGATCGCTTTTGGTTGCGATTAGGAAGATCACCGCTGACAAGTAATCCATATCTAGTATTAGCAATGACTGACTGTTCCTTTACAAACTTAATAAAATTGGCGAACAGAGGCTCTCGACCTCCTCTGATAATCTTATAAGCTACCTTAAGTCATTCTTTAGAGCGTGACGATAACCTTCTTCTGGTTTAAGCAATGCACAATGAGCAATAGTAGCCTTAGTTTCACCATCACAAAACTGAGCCAAATTGTTTAGCTGAAATCAAAATCCAACGCTTTCATCGAAACTGTCTTCAAAATTTCGTATAAAACTCCAATAGTTCATGGGATTACCATGTAACCTTATGATATCTCTCTTTGGCAGGTCTAAAGCTTTAGATATCATTGTTATCCAGTCCTTTCCAGGATTAATATCAATTGTACGTGAGGCAGATGTAGACACGTGAGACATAACCTTGTCAGCCACAACTTCAGTATAATGTTTTCTTCCCTTTTGACGTAATCGTTCCAACTCAATCTCTCTTTCTGTCTGAGCTAAACGTAATTTAGCCAATTCTAACTTTGAAAAGGGATCCATTCGGAAGCTATTTCTTCCCAACTGGTCATCACTATTAGTTTCTGAATAGTGGAGAGACAATTCAGGAATCTGATCAGTTTTGTGATTGTCCGTAGATATTTAGAGGTACTCAATGTATGTATTTTTGATGAAAATACTGGTTCAAAATTTGCACGATTTAATGTTTCCGAAGGCAATATATAGTTGAATGAAATTTCTTCCTACATCACTTACGTAGATACACAATCTGTTATCTTGACACTTTTCATTTCACAACACTTGTATCTTACACACTTATGTGAATACCTACTTCAAACCGTGTTCACGTTGATTGAATGTCCTATTCAGTATACAGTAAACTAGAGAACCATGTACCAATTTATATTCCATAATTTTGTTGTTTGATTATATTTTCTTTGAAAAAGCTTGGACCAGATTGCCAGGCAAAACGTTGAATTTACTTCAAATGCTTTCTCTGACATTTTACAACTACATTTTTCCTCTTTGATGTAACCAACAACGCCTTCAGACGACTTCGAAAGACTGGAGCTTGACTAATTATTGTTCGACTTGGTAGATTGCAACCTATTGACCTGATGTCCTGTATCCAATAGACACTTGGTGATTGCACTGTACAAAGTCATCATTATTTTCATGTTGTAAAGACTCTTTACTCCCTCAACAACAACTCTTCTCACACGTCTAGTATGAACACTACCACTTCTACTACAACCACCACTGTGAGACCCGTTATTTTGTCATCATTTAGATCGGACGGTGTTTGTTGACGAGCTGTCCACTTTAGTGGCCCGACATCCCAATCCAAGTAGATCGCATGAATGATTGCTGTCGAAATGAATATGTCGAATATCATTGTACATAATCATCAGCTTAAATCGTTTTATTCAATAACGGAATTAAATGAGTCAAGTTAGGAGAATGGACTTTTGAATACATATATTTTGTATATGAAGCGAATGTAAAATGAGAAGCAAACCGACGCTCATTGGAGATGGTAGGAAAGCCGAATCCATTTCACCAAGCGGTAATCAATATTTATAGTCACACAAAAATAAGTCACAGACATTTGATGAATAGGATAACAAGTGTACACACACATACGCTCATATAGAAACAGTCAAGATCAGTAAGCGAACAATTACCACGGTCAAAATATAACTCAGTTAGAATGAGTAAGTTGGCCTGTCCGGAAGTCAGAATGAAGCTTATGAAATTGACATGCAAACGAAGACAACACGATATTACACTACACTACCAACACCAATCACCAACTAAACTACAAATACTGTTCTAAGGATGAGATTCCCTGATTCACTGTTGCTAATACTTGCATCACTACTACTGGAATAAATCCATGCGAATGTATACACTGCCCACACCAAATACACCACCAATCATATGTCAACTGAGACTACTCAAACCTCAACAAGCACGAACAGTCACACTAATTCCAATGTTCACTTTCACACATCCCTCAACAATAACTCTTCGTACACGTCTAGTATGAACACTACCACTTCTACTACAAACACTAACACTGATCGTCAATCATCGTTCACTCAAATGAGCAGCACATCGATTCAACACCACTCACTTCGACTGAAGCATCAACAGTCAGTGTTCCATTCACGTGTACACGCACACAACCGACCAGTGTTTGGAAATTGAGGAGAAGTCAGAGATTTGCTTTGAATAAGCACATTTATTCTTAGAGAAGTTGGAGAAGTTATGATTGATTACATTTTCCTGGAAAAAGCTTGGACCAGATTGCCAGGCAAAACGTTGAATTTACTTCAAATGCTTTCTCTGACATTTTACAACTACATTTTTCCTCTTTGATGTAACCAACAACGCCTTCAGACGACTTAGAAAGACTGGAGCTTGACTAATTATTGTTCGACTTGGTAGATTGCAACCTATTGACCTGATGTCCTGTATCCAATAGACACTTGGTGATTGCACTGTACAAAGTCATCATTATTTTCATGTTGTAAAGACTCTTTACTCCCTCAACAACAACTCTTCTCACACGTCTAGTATGAACACTACCACTTCTACTACAACCACCACTGTGAGACCCGTTATTTTGTCATCATTTAGATCGGACGGTGTTTGTTGACGAGCTGTCCACTTTAGTGGCCCGACATCCCAATCCAAGTAGATCGCATGAATGATTGCTGTCGAAATGAATATGTCGAATATCATTGTACATAATCATCAGCTTAAATCGTTTTATTCAATAACGGAATTAAATGAGTCAAGTTAGGAGAATGGACTTTTGAATACATATATTTTGTATATGAAGCGAATGTAAAATGAGAAGCAAACCGACGCTCATTGGAGATGGTAGGAAAGCCGAATCCATTTCACCAAGCGGTAATCAATATTTATAGTCACACAAAAATAAGT